ATTTGGGGCAAGAAATTTTGAAACAAAGTTAAGACAAAAATCAACTCCTTTCTGATAACAGAGATAACTGGAAGAATAAAAGTACATGCAGGAACAAATGGTCAGATAACACTCACCTCTTCCACAAAAGACCAGTACTTGCAGTGACTGCAGATGCTCCTAGGAAAGCCACCATCATTAGTCTTCGCCTGATCTGGGTGGGATGTGATCCTCCATGGTACCATCGAAAGCCCACAGCTAGTTCTGCCAATGCAGAAAGTGAGTTAAGACGAAACATCCTGTGGACAAAAAGTAGAAATGTCACTCCTAGCTAGTGGTAGTGACAGTGGGGATGATGATGATGATATCAACACCACCAACAAACACTGATTAAGTAGTTATTTTGTGGCAGACACTATTCTAAACACTTTGCATGTATTATCCCATTTAATTCTCAGAACAATCTTATGAGAAAAGTACTGCTTAGTAACCCAATATATCAAAATACAATTAGAAGACCGAAACCATGTGATAATTTGAACAGGGAATATTTAATATAAAACATTATTAATTACAACATATTAAGTACTCAGAGGTAAAGAAACAGCAGATACAGGGAGCAGCCACTACTTCTAGAACTGACACAGAGCACCAAGAAAAGACCAAATTATAAAAGGTCCACTTCCACCAGGGTTGAAATCTAGACCTTGAGGAAATGACACAGTCATGCATGTTTGAGAAATTTACTAAGGAGCCACACCAGCAAAACTCACTAGAAAGCCACTCTCTGTGATGCTGGAGCAAGTCATCTACTGGGAATACTCATGCCAATGGAACTTGCGAAGGTAACCTTTGGGGTGCCAGGGGAAGCCACCCATGAGGAGATGCCAAAGTATGTAATTCATTGAGAAACTGTATGCAGGAGTGTTGCTGCTAAAACTCCTTAGAGATTGAGTGCCATTAAGTGTCCCACTAGGCCTTGAATGCCACAGGAGCAAGCAGCAAAGAGCACACTAGAATCAGGAAGAAACATCCCTCCTATTCCAGTGTCCCTCTAGTCTTTCTACTGACAAAGCTTAACAATAAATGGCAAAGGAAAAATTTCCAGTATCACAAACAGGATAATGAAAGATGAATTTTAGAGCTGGAAAGCAACTGATTGATACTGGATATAAAATGTGACTTGCTTGAGAGTACAACACAGCTAGGAAGCAGTGGATCCAGAATTTGAAACTAGAGTAGACTAACTCCAGACTTCTAGTTTTTAACTATGAGACTTTGCTGCCCGCTACCTTATAATGATATTGCTTTGAAGTTTTTATTATATCTTTCTCACCCCTAGGCCCTTAGAAGCCTTCCTCACCAAGAGATTCTTTCATTTCATACTTAAAACTTCACTAAAGAAAAAATTCCTTTCATATTTTGTTTTATATCAGAAATATCTGTATTGGCGTATATTATTGTTTAATAAACATTCACTCTCCTATTTCCCATCTCATGGCAAAGACTATTTTCCCATTCTTTTAATTTTGGGTGTGTGTCTTGTCATATGCTTTGCTTTGACCAATGGAATGTAGACTAGTTCCACAAAGTACTTTTAAGAGGTGTTGCTGTTCACCTTTTTGTGCTCCTATTCTCCACCAAGAGAAGATCATGTCTCAAGGAGACATGATCTCCTTCAAACTGGGTTCAATATGAACAGATCTCAGACTGGAATAAACCACTGAGCCCAGCTGAGCAGGGTGAGCATACCTGACCTGCAGAATGCTGGTGAGAAAGAAATGTTTGTTATGGTAAACCACAAAGATCTTGGGGTTATTCATTGCCACAGTGAAAGCCAACGAATTCAGCATCCAAGAGAATATTGGGAAGTCCTCATTCAACAAGAATTTATCAAGTTCATATTGCGTGTCCAGCCCTGTGTGAGACCCAAAAAGCCCCAAATTTTTGACATTCTCATTAAGCAAAATACACATGAAACATTTTTAAAATTATACATTTCTAAAATGGTATCTTAAAGAAATAGAAAAATATTATGGTATAAATGATAGAAAATTTAAAATCAAAAAAGACTAAGTTGTGACTGGGTTAGTCAGCAAGGACTTTTGTTTAGTCTTAAGCCTCAGAATGGTGTAGAATTTTGATCATGTGATAGAAATGTCAGAAGCACCCCAAAAGCCTTAGGATCATTTTGGGCACCTCCATCCAGAGAATTAAAGCAAAATGATTTTTCTTTTAGACAATGACCTTGAGGGCTCAGCATAGTGCCTCATTCTTTTATCCCACCAGACAGACTTAAGAAAGAAGAGGCATTTCTTTCTGGTTCCACTTTTTTGCAGTGGTAATTCATTCAAATTATACAAAGTATCCATGCCCTCTCTTTGATTTTTCTCAAAGCATAGTTCACTGTTTCCTAATTTAAATTACCTTGCACGTTGTAAACATCTTCCTATGGCAATTAACATATTTGTTCATACATAAGTTTGCCTTTCACACCTGGCTTTGAACTTCCTTCAAGGCCAGAATTAATTTTTTTCTCTTTGTAAACACATAGTCTAGCATAGGACTTGTTATATTATAGGTGCTTAAAATACTTGTTATCTCTTTTATTTTCACACAAAAAAGGTCTGGATACAAACTACACAGGTACTGCTTCCTAACATTTAAGTATACTCTCAGCCCCTAGTTGACTAAGAAAAGAATGTCTTTTATTATTCAGATTCAATCAGGTTAGACTACTTAGCTGTCTCCTAATATCATTGAGCTGGTCACTACCAACTCCTCCCTCGGACCTATATCTATAATCTCTCAAATAAACCTTGCTCCTCGCCCCCTTCATCCAATCTAGGTTCAATTTCAAAGTTGGAGCTAAATTCTGCCCTCACAGACAAAGTAAAAGATGGTTAATTTCTTCTCCTATCTTCTATGACCTAAGCTTTAGAAACAAAATTTTTATATCCCTACTCGATCCCAGAAATCACCTCATTTTATTACACATACTATCTAGCAAAATCCAGCACTAAGGAGGCTATCCACTGTATTTTCTTCCTGTCTGACAACTTCTGATTTTCTTTTCTGGCTCATTTTTAAATTAATATTTCCCAAATTCACATGTCTATTCACATAAATAGCATTGTTTTTGGCTACAGGAAAAATGAGCAGCTGCTCAAGAGGCTGAGGCAGGGGATAGCTTGAGGCCAGGAATTTGAGGTTATAATGAGCTATGATTGTACCACTGTAGTCCAGCCTGGGTGACAGAGCAAGACTTTGTCTCTATTTTTAAAAAAAACAAAAAACGAAAACAAAAAACAACTATGTGTATCTATCCATACAACCAAATACATTTCAGATATGTATTCGCATTTAACAGAATACAAGGTAACATGCACATGCCAATTAAAACTAAAATACATATGCAAGGGATTTTTTGATTTATAAGGAAAATTTAGATGATACAAATAAAATTAAGTGTTCCCCTGGGAATGATTTATTCAAACTTTTTCACTTAAGGGAAAATGAAGTCATACCCAGAAGGCTATTACATTGTCCTCAGCCAAGAACTATCATTTACCGGCCTGATCACTGAACTCAGGCCCAATAATTTCACAACAGTCAACCCATATGGTAAGCTTCCCTAGTGAGATAAATCAAATTCATATCCCAATACTTAGTTAAATCAAATTCATATCCCAATACTCTGATTATTGGCACTTTCTGATGCAACTTACCACACTATTAGAATTCCAGACCATATCTTTTTCCTGACTTATAACATCTGCTTGCAACTTTTCTGTTTGACTTGCCCTCTTGTATTTCTGACCTCTGACAACTGCACATTTAAAGACAGACTGCTTGGCTCTTCCAATCCTGGCACTGGCCTAAATAAACCTCTGTTGTACTGTTAAGCAACAGTACACTGACACTATTGTTGAAAGCAACATCTGCTAACTCTGAAGCCAATATACATTTCTGAGACCTATCTAAATCCGGCCACCAACAAAACCTAGATCTCAGTTAAATAAAATGTCAGGGTTCCAAAGTGTTTAGTTTACAAGAACAAAGAGCTCGAGAAAAGAATAACTGAGTGTCCTTTTGACATATATTTCCAGAGTCTAATACAGCATCTGGCATAGCTAGAAGATATAAGTGATGGTTCGTTCAGTGCACTCTATGAACCTGGAAATATGGTCCCACTCGGAGAACTAAATTGTAAAATCAGCACTATCTGGGATGCCCTGAGACAAGGACTCAACCTCTTCATCACAGTGGCAGCTCTATCCTAATCATAGAATTAGATTAAGTTGGCCACCAGAGCTTCAGCCATTAAGTATCTGAATTATATACTTAACTTGCCTTATTTTATTTCCGTGCTCACTAGGTAACTTTATGATTATAATTTGGCTTCCTTTGTAGATTGTCCTTGAAGAGAGAACAT